CTCTCTCTCTCTCCTCTCTCTCTCTCTCTCTCTCTCTCTCCCTCCTCTCTCTCTCTCTCTTCTCCTCTCTCCTCTCTCTCTCCTCCTCCTCTCTCTCTCCTCTCTCTCTCTCTCCCTCCTCTCTCTCTATCTCTCGGCTCTCTCTCCTCCTCTCTCTCTCTCTCCAATTCCCCTCCCTCTCTCTTTTTCGAACACATCACAATGCTTACAGAACCACTCGCTGCTGGTACCTCAGTGGGGCTCCACGCAAAGAACGCGCACTTCATCTCTGTCGCCAATCACACCGATTCTCTACCTCGTAAACGCTTCTCATCAGCATATCAAAGCCCACAGCACGGGCGCATCGCTTAAACGGCATGACCAGATGATCTCATTGACACAACACTGAAACAATACTTGGGTATCATCGCGAGCGGCGGCTGGCTGCATCCGGCGGCGCCTCCGCGGCGGCCGGCGCCTGGTGTCCCTCCATCGACCCGTCGTGACCGGTCAGGAAGACCGCCGTCGGCGTCGCCGGGCCACCAGACACGGGATCGGCAGCCACGCCTGGTCGCTGCGGCGCGCGTGCGAGCAGCGTCACGACACCGGTCGCCGTGTACGGCAGCCGTCGCCCGGTCGGTGGACTGGTTAGTTGGGCTTTCGAGTGCTGGGAGCGCATGGTTATGCATCAGGTGCAGGTGCTGACCGGCGGGAGTGAGTGGCCGGGCCCTCTCTTCACAGTGCGAACAGTGTTAAAAAGTCACGGTCACATAGCGGAACACAAATCATACTACTGCACTCTACCATATCTCGACATCCCCCCTTCCCAAGTGTCCAGCGCTTGGGTGGCGAGAAGGCAACCGTTTTACGTGCATTGCGGCTCCGCAGGGCGCCAGGGCGGGGATGTTCTTCATCGCTCAGTACAAGTTGCCTGTCTGCCATTATGTATCATGGGGCTAGAACACAAATACTTTTAATATATTTTTACTTTGTAAAACTTATATTTCAATACTAACACTTGAGAATACAAATCTTTTCAAACTTACTTTTGGCAAAAACCTACTGAAAAACTACTTTCCCTCTAAACAAGATGAAAAATGACTTGAAGCACATTATTTTCATTACTGCGGCAAATTGAGTTACAGACACTCCACCTGGTAGGCAAATTTCCAATATTCATTCTAACCGAAAGTGTACCTCAGAAAGAGACCACATGTCTGCCGCTGGCACCATACCCCGCTGGTGATATTAGGATAAGTGATCTTCGTAACATAAATCGATTTCCGCGAACACCTACCATTAACCATTTCATTGCTGTTTTTTGAGGGGTTATCAAGTTGCGATTTATATTTGCATACAAATTAGACCTATCTGTATCTGTATCGGTATGTGTGCGATTTACATTTGTATCGAAATCAGTCGCATCAAAGAGCAGAGCCGGCAAAGAATGCCGTGAAACGACAGAAGAACTGAGAAATGCTTGACCTATTTCTTTCATCATGTTAATGTTAATTTTACCTATCAAGCTATCGACGTGGAACCGCCTGAATATCATTGGAAAGCCTAATATTGATGTTTATGCATTCAAGCTGAGAGCACCTCAGCATAAGGCTCATGCGAAATCATGATTCAGATTTCATAACAGATTTTGCTGCAACTTCCTGTCATGGCAACACACACTGTCTGCATGTCCAATGCATGGCTGAACAAGAAGGTTGTTAAGCGCACTTTGCTGCCTTGAAATCATGAGCAGTTGTCTTAAACGTGTCGCCTTACCTTGTATCACCGTTAAGTACCAAGGTTGCATCACTACTAAGTGAGTTCGCTTGTCTCTGTCACCTTCTCCCAAGCTCGTTTCCAGGCGCATTACAACTTTTGGAGCCCACAATCAAAAGCACGTGCGGGGGTGAAGGGGGTCCCTTTCTCTTTGGTTTCGAGAGGCTCGAAGGGCCCACGGATTTCACAAGCTGGCCGGGTGGCACTGAAGCCCCATTGACTCAGGGTTCCTGGGTCAATGAGCAGCCACCTGTGTCCGTTCGGATCCACCTTTCCTGACAGAGGACCCCGTCGTGGCAAGGGGTCCTTAGATGGCCAGGAGCAGTGTCCGAGGGGGCCCGAGGATGGGCACGAAAGGTCCCTCGGTTGGGGGGGGGGGCAAAGCTCGAAGGGCTAGCTGTAGGTCACAATAAGGACCCTGGCTCGCAGAGCCGGAATCTCAAATGTCAGACAAAAGGCGTCACACACACCGATCGAGAACCCTGGGCTGTGTGAGCCTCTATTTCAGCCAGATATCACCAAAATCAAACAGTCGGCTCCGTGCCGGTCTGAGCCCTCTGGACCCATTTCCCAAGCAGGGACATGACCGGGGACCCCGATCTGCATTGGTTGGACCTCCGAAACAAGGAGGGGCCCTGTGTTGGTCAGGGGACCACAGTGCCTTACGGGGGTCCCTGAAGGCTCGGACCCCTCCGCGTCTGCCTTGGCCAGAGGGCCTTCAAGGAGGGGAGAAATGTGTGAGGCATTCATCTAAAGCCAGGGGAGTTAATCCCATTGTACGAACAGATGTCCTACGGCGTTCCAAGGTACCCCTTTCAGATGCGACATCATTTTTGTCCGCCCCTTGGCAGCCGCTTGGTGCTAGTCGTCAGTCTAACGCTGCTCGGCTAACGGAGACTGCAACAGCAGACGTCTGGGTTATTGCTTCAAGACTTGCGAGTGTGCTCAAAACTTTAAAATATAGTGGCTTTACCTATCCGTTATAAGGAACGCATGAGCATGCCTGGACAAACGACACTGGTTGGTCACATCATACACATTTTGGACTCCATTTCGATCTACAATCGATGTTCGTTCCACAGGGTTTGCAATCACTCTGCTGGGCCCCGACAAAGTCTGGAAAAGGCCTGATTGATGTAAATTTAGAGGGAGGACAATGAATCATCGCAAAATGAATAGCGCCGGCGGTTATCCCATGCAGACATATAATGTCTGGTTAATTCAGTCTTCAAACTTCAAAATGCTTCAAACTTCAAAACTCAAACTTCAAAACTTCAGTCGGACTTCCAAATGCAAACAGAATCGCATTCTCCGGCTACTTCTGGCTACAGTGTCAGTCAAAGACGAAACCAAACAAAAACAAAACCAGGAAAATCGATCTCCCCAAATTCAAGTGGGCCGAATCCGGTGACTCCTTATGGAGGGCTTTTTGAACAGCAGGTGGTCTTCGTCAACACTGATCCCGCCCCCCCCCCCCCACATACACTAAGACCTGATTGTGCCCTCCTGCCGCCACATTCCTTGTTGGACTGAAATGTCTTCCTGTTGCTCGCATCATCGTGGCCACGGGTAAAATATTGATGATAGCGATCATTGACTCATGGGACTCATCAGAGGTCCGATACCTATGTGGTGTGTGTGTGTGTGTGTGTGTGTGTGTGTGTGTGTGTGTGTGTGTGTGTGTGTGTGTGTGTGTGTGTGTGTGTGTGTGTGTGTGTGTGTGACATTCGGTCACCCCTTCCCTCCCCATCTTCTGTCATCCAAGACAGTGTATCTTCCATTCAAGCACAGTCGCTATCTTACTCCGTTTAAATGTATCCTGCAGGACATGGTTCCTGTAGGACGGCATGCAACGTGATATGTCCCGGTCCGGACTACTACTTCAAAATTCAACCGGTATGGATCGCTTTAAAATTAATCGTATATTACTACTTTGTTACATTACCGACAGCTGCTACCACTATGATCCCAACTGTTTGCTTTAGCACGCTAGTTTGTGATGGGCAATGCTTGATAACCTAAAAGGCGAGGAGGGAGGAGAACGATCGAAGCGAGGAGGGATTAAGTTATTTTAAAGTTACCATCAAATTCAAGAACACTCCGGCTGAATTAAAAAGTCCGCGTGCATCTAAGACTTTGCACGTTAGTAACATCCACATTAGTTCTATGATATAAATTCCATTCCATGAACGCCTGACGTGTAGACCATAAAGGCGATTTTTACGATCTTTAGATATGAGTTTCGAGCCTTGGCACCGAAATGGGTAGTTTCCATCCCAAAGGCACGGCGTGCTGTCCAGGCAGCTCGTTCCACGTGCCCACCACCCCTAGCCCTGCTGGAGCACCCACCGTCCGAAGTCGCCGCCTCGGCGACCGTGGTGGGCAGGTCGCGTCCACTCGTCTCCGGCAGGAAGGCCGTCATGCCGCCCGCCCAGCAGGCCACACCCCCCGAAACTGCAGAGCGGCAGCGTGGCCAGTGTCGTCGCCCTGGCCACCCAGGTCAGGTCAGGCCAGCTCAGCTACACAGCCGTGCCCTCGCCATTCGGCGGGCGCGCGGCAAAGTGGGTCCTGCCGGCCCGCCTCACGGGCTTGAGGCATGTCTCCTTCTGGCCGCCGCGGCGAAGGCGGGCGGGGGGCGGTAACGACAGCCCCTACCCCGGCTGCCCGTGTCGTGTTGTGACGGGTGGCTGGCAGAGTGTGTGCCGCAACGCGCGCCGAAAGAACCGATAACTACGAGTCCACAGCAGTTGCCTGGCATGGCGACGGGCTACACGCCCAGCTTCCACCGCGAGAGAAGTCGCGGGGGATAACTTGTGATACAGTATGCCAGTGACAACCATTCCAAAGATGACGACGACATAAAGGAAAACCACCTCCAGTCGCCTCGCAAAGTCGACAACGTTGTTACAGCCAGACAGTGTGCTACATGTTCGCAACATCAGCGTATTATGAGCGAACTTCGTCACCTTGGCTGCTGAACGCGCAGCTTCTGTAGTTACCAGATCGGCGATGACCGGTGCGAGCACGGAGCCGATTCTTGAGCAGGCTGAGGCCATGCCCACGCCCATCACACGCATTCCGCTTGGGCACATGCTCCGCCGTGTACAGGAACAGGAGCGAGGAACGCTGACGCCGCGCCGAACTTGCCCAGCAGCGCCAAGGTCGTCGTCAGCCACTCCAGTTCTGAATTGGACCCGAGATGAGATATGTAAACCCGCTCTCGAGAGCTGACAGACAGCACCCGC